AAACGATTGAAGTTGGTGGGTAAAGCTATACATTTTCGCGATATAATTAAATAAAATTTAAACATAATTAATAGAATTCATAATGTTCAAATATGATAACTATCAATATATGATAATTAAACCGAAATCCATCTTCCTAAGAACACGAGGTTAGCAAAAACAAATTAGTTTGTTTAAGCATTGTTAAATTAACCCCGAAAATGTACAATTTCTGATCTAAAATATGAAAAATAATTTTTGCAATCTCATCGTGACGTACGATGACGTCACTGTCACGTGAGCTACCTGATAAAAGGTCAATTTTTCCATCCTCTGTTTAGTTTTGATTCCGGTCTGGTAGCAGCAACAGTGGAGCTCCGTTTTGGCTTAAAAGTAGCACGTGTTCGCGAATTTCTAATTTATTGTTAATAAATATTAGCGAAAATGTTTTGTGTTACGTGCTGTGAACACGAAGGAAAGTGGATATTTTTCCAAAAATGCCCGATTTTTTTTTAAATATGTTGTTAATAACATGCATTCAGGACTGATAAAGTACGGCTTTGGAATATACAAAGTGCAGCGTTCATAATTCACAAAATACCGTATGCATCATTTTTAAACTACGGCGTCCAAATTTACAAAATACGGTGTTCTTCACCCATGCTATCAAACCCTAGTCCTCTCTTTTAATGGCAAGACGCACTCCAGACCTCCTCGTATTGTTTGGTTCTTGCTGGGCAACAGCAACGAGCGAGCAGAGTCATCGCTCTTTGTTGGCAAACGTGGAGAAATTTGTATATTGTAACTTTTGTAATTGAAGCATTTTGTACTGTATATTGTATGTGTTACTAACTTAACTTGGGTCTTGCCAATTTAGCTCCAGTGGTGCAAATGCTTTGTTTTCACGGTGTATTTGCTTGGGTTTTAATTTTGCAACAGTGCATTCTTTGGTTCCGGGTTTGAATTCTCCATGTCGTCAGACGCTTTGGCCTGGGGGGGTTCTTTTGGCCCTTAGACGCTGGGTTGCATCGTTCTTTGAGAATGAGGTAAGACGACCTTGGATTTATGCGGCTGCGTTCTCCCTTGGGCGTGTGAGCGCTACGACCAATAGATTTCGTCCCGAGTTCCATCGGTGTGCTTGCTTGGGTTTTCATTTTGCAACATTCTCAATTTTTGGTGCAATTTCTTCCGGTGGTGTATTGGGTACTAACTTTGCATTTGTATTGTATCTGAATTGTATCTGTATCTGTAGTGTATTCTGTATTGTAGCTAGATTGTAGGTACCTGTATTGTATTTCCGTTGTATTGTACTGTATAACGTTCTATCCCTCATTAACAATTCCTAGCCCTCTCCTTTCCTAGCGAGATCTGCTCCAGACCTTCCCGTGGTTCTTGCTGAGCATCAACTATCGAGGACAGAAAATTCAAATTCAAAACCAGCAAAGTTTCACAAAAATCATGAAAATCGCTCGTTGGTGGCCAACGTGGAGCAAAAGAGAATTTTGTAACTCAACTAACTTTGTTAACTTTATATTCTTAAGGAAACAAAAATATATTACATTTAATTTATTATTTATAAGGACAAATAGTCATTTGCCACACCGATGCTCATTTTTAGATTAAATGCTCACAAAACGCGTAGATGTTCAATTTGTGTCCGGGGAGATACAATGTTTGCAAGTTGGTACTTCATACTTCGAATATGAGTATCTACACAGTTTTATTCATACCATCCAATGTCTCGCTTCAATGTTTGACTATTATGTTGATAATGAGTACAACGCTGATCAACTTCCGTATCCGAATTATCCATGAAATCAATCATTGCGGTTTGCACCTGAGGTAGTTCGTCGCACATTTGATTGACTTCGTGGACCTATGTCAGCTTGTCGTCTTCTCGGCATTGTAATGAACTTCATAAAAAGACACAGAATTATTTTCACCATCAATCAAATCTGTAAATTTTGTCTTGAGAATTTTAAAATATTTAAAACTTCAATTTAAATCCTCGAATAACGGTAAAGGTTGAGGTTTTGTCGAAACCAACAAAGTGAATATATATATATAGGTAAATAAAATACCAGATCAAAATTAATAAAAAACTTTCGCAATGTGTAATTAAATTCACTTTAACCAAGACTTTTCTTAAAATAAACGACGTTTTTTGTTACGAAAAAACAAACAACGACTTGAAATGCAATAATACTTTTCACAATCGCACGGAAAAAATAGTTTTGTATGACACGTCAGTCAGGCGACAGGTCCGTCAGGAACGCCAACTATTCAAATTCATTCGAAGTGGCGATTCCCACGCAAAATTTTTAAATTTTTTTTGTCTTTTAGCCGTCTTATTTTTTATCAATTTTCTTGCATATAAACCTTCTCCTGACGATAAGGAACACGTAAAAAAAAGAATCGTCCAATTCGGTGCAGCCGTTCTGAAGTTATGAGCGTACATGCATTTCGGCGATTCATTTTTATTTATATAGATAGATTTAATTATTAATTTGTAGCTTTATTGTGGCCAAAAGGAACTGAACACAAAAAAGTTAAATGGTTTGTATCAGATGGTGCTTCATACATGATCAAAATTGGTACTAATTTGAAGGTGATTTATGAAAATATAACACACTTAACATGTCATACATAGGTTACATTTAGTGTCTGAAACAATTAGACTGAATTATCCAGATGTCGATGGGATAATTACCAATGTTAAGAAAATATTTTTAAAAGCACCAATAAGAATAGAGTTTTATAAAAACAGTTTACCAAATACACCTCTCCCACCTGAACCTGTATTAACCAGGTGGGGCACTTGGATTCAAGCAGCATTGTTTTATGCAGAACACTTTGATCTTTTAAAACAAGTCAGTAAATATATAATGGTTTTTTTTACTATCATTCTTATATTGAATATTTTTAGGTTGTAATGTCACTTGAAGCCACAGATGCACAAAGCATTAAAAAAGCTCAAGAATTCCCGAATAAAGCAAACGTTAAAAATAAACTCTTGTACATTAAAACTCACTTTAAAATTATTGCTGATGCAATAGAACAATTAGAAACTGTAGGTTTAAAATTAAACCAAAGTATGGAAATTGTGGAAAAAGTGTATACTTTAAAAAACACATCAGGAAAGGTGGGGGAAATGGCGTTCCAAAAATTATGTTCTCTATTAAAAAAGAATCCAGGATACGATTTTATATGTTCAGTAAATAACGTAATTTGCGGTAATGGAAATGCTACCGACAATACATACATAAATGAAAACGTAGATTGTTCAATATTTAATTTTGCACCCATCACTTCTTGTGATGTGGAACGCACGTTGTCAAAACTTAAAAGTGTTTTAAGCGATCAAAGGTGTAAATGTACAATCGAAAATTTAGAGAAATATATAGTTTGCTTTTGTAACTCGTTTTAAATACCTGAATTAATATTTTATTTTTTGTTAAATGCGACTTGCTTTAATTTGATCACCATTTTTTTGCGATAACTTAGAATTAGTGGACGTAACTATATATCGTTTATTTATTTAATCATTTTTTTGTTTGTTACACAAAATATTTGTTTCTATAATGTTTTTTTTAAATATATATTTTTTTGATGTATGCTTTTTCGTTGAGCAAATATTTTTTCCTCCAGGTTTTTAACCTAAACTAAGATTTTTATAACCTAATTCGTCAAGTTTGGGACCTAAAATTGTGTCCTTTTATTCATTTTTTAACGACCTAAAATCCGAAGCCTACTAATAATTTATTATGGCTTAAATTTGAACATCTTGTCTCGAAGTACGGCGAGTGTTTTCCGAGACATTGGGTAGTATTAATAAAAATAAGTAAATGCTTATAAGTAAATACTTGTAAGTATTAGCATTTATTATAAGCATCAGGAAGTTCCAAAAGTAAATACTTATTTCCATATTAATAACAAGATGCTAATCAGTGGCGGCTCGTGAAGTTTTCTTCAGAGGAGGCTCAAATTTGAAAAGCACTACTTTTTATATATTTTATTATCTGAATAGTTTTTTTCGTCATGCCCACGAAAAGAACACTCTTGCGTTGACAGATAAATTATGTTGCATCGATTAGTCTTTTCAAAATTGCCCAATTTTCAGTAACTTTCTCGTAACAGTTCTCCCTTTTATGAGCCGAATCTAAATTATTGGCAATGTTTTGCTTACCACGCATTTCTAATTTAATCGAAGAAAATATGTGTTCCTGTGATTTTTCATGCCTTTCTATAGCTCGTGATAAATTTTGTAAATTATTATAGCCTGTTTTACCCCAAGCGGAAGATTTATCAGTTTATCACTTATAAATAATACACAATTCCAACAGTATAATTTGTTTCTTAAAACCGATGCCGTTAACTATTTAGTTTTATTATAATTATTTTCATGAAATGCTCTGTTTTGTTTCTAATTGTAACTGTCAATACCATTAATGGGAGTGATGGTGTTCGTCTTCCCTTTTATACCCTTACCTACGTAAAGCCTAAACACCACCACCACTGAACAGGGAGCTCGCGAAACCACCTCAATGTTTTTCCTACTTACACCCGATTGCTCCAACTAATAAGAAAGAGATAAAGTTATCTGCACGACTTGATCTGAAAAGAGATGAACTAGCCGGAGGCTAGCGGCTTGGAGCGGCTGTGCGATCAACGTTTTAGCCAATGCAATGCACACTGACGGTGCGTCAAGGTTACGGTCTCATTATTCAGATGCATCGTCGTTCGGAGGCTAGCGGCTAGCAAGCCTCTGCCGCTGAAACCAAACGCGGAGTGGTGTGAATGTGAATTATGATTGTGAGGGCGCAAATATAAATTTTTCCGACATTTTAACCTGATATATGATGAAAGTAAATGAAATCCAAGAAAATATTCTGAAAAATAACAAATGTCTACAAAAATATAAATTCTTTCATCGAAAAAAATTAGAGGAAACTCAGCTCCAAAAAATAGAGGAGGCTCAGCCTCCCCTGCCTCCTCTGAGGAGCCGCCACTGATGCTAATACTTATAAGTAAATACTTATTTTGATAAGTTTATGCTTATCCACAAAATACATAAAACATCTTTCTATTATTATAACCCGGTCACGTTTTAACAGATTATTAAAGGCTTCTTCCCTTGGTGTGGCTGGATTTCTGTAAGGAATCATCAGACATTTTTCTATACCGTATCCTTGGTCTCCCAATAGTACAGCATTATTAAAAGTTCTGAAGACCCGGCACACAGAACTGTTCCTCCAGATGCGACTGTCATGTACCGATCCAGGCCACTCAGCACTGACACTTGTAAAATATTCCTCCGCGTTACATGTTGCTTGTACATTAAGAGCAGGGAACTGTTTTCTGAAGATGTATTCATTGCCATGTCTATTTACATAAATTTTTTTAATTCTTATTAATGTGCAGTCAATGGGTCCAATTGCTGTGGGAAAATTATATCTTCTTAACCATCGCTGTTTTTCTCCTTGTATGGCTTCATTGTCCTGCAATTCACATAAATTTATCATGCCAAGCTGATAGGGCAAGAAAAAGTATTTGCTGTCGTTTTACCTGGGGAAACCGAATCCAAATGTGCGCTTTGTTCATAATCTTTTGGGCAACACACTTTATAGTATAGGAAACTGCAGGCTGGCTAACTTCTATATCTTCGGCGACTCCAGTCTGAAAACCTGGATCGGCTGCATACCGCAAAAAAATTTTCATTTTTGTAAATGAGTCCAGACTGCCGCCTCTTGTTTCATTGCTGGTTCCAAGAAAATGTTCTGCCATTTTCACTTATAAAACGATATATTCGAATAAAATCCCTTTCAGGAGGGTTCTGTCTACGTTGTTTATAAGTTTTGCGAGCACGCACTTCGTAATTGAACATTTTTCACAATTTTTTTTTAAGTCTTTGCTGTCGTAAGTACGTCAAATAGCATGCTTATAAATTTATAAGTAGATACTGAATTCTGTAAGTTAGTATCAGCTTGATTTTATTTATACAGTCTTAAGTAAATACTGATTTCGATAAAAAGTATGAGCATATACTTTTCCTACATAAGCATATACTTTTCAGCATCAGTTTTACTTATGTTTTATTAATACAAATGTAAGCATTTCCTTAAAAAACTGTCAGTATCAGTAAATACTTACTTTTATTAATACCACCCTATACCTTATAATATAAGTACTGATTTTGATCGTATTTAATATGCACTTTGTTTGCATGTGATAGGTATGAGGTTTCGGTCCACGAGATAGGTAATCTATGAATTCCTTTTGATTTATTAGTATGGGGAATTTTAGCGCCAATTACCCATCCCTGGTTCTTTCGGGACCGGGAAACCGGCTGAGGCTATCAGAGGCGTGAGAAGAGTTGTTACTAATCCTGCCAATACATTTACCGCATTAATACTCGACTGGTGAAAGGCTGATTTGTTTGTGTCAATGTAAAACGGAAAGTAATTAAGAGAAAATGTAACAATTTCTACTATTTTGACAAGTAGGTATGTTAGGGATCGAAACACCAGAGACGAAATGTCAATTACCGAAATATTTAACTAAATTGGCATACGAAGTACTCGATTCTCGAAGTGAATACAGTTGCCGAGGGTATGTAAAACATGTTATGGACATAAAGAACCACTACTGGGATATGGTAGAATCGAATATGCTATTGATAAAATTATTGCACTTAAGTGTAGGCGGATCAGATGACAACAATAACGATTGTTTTAATTTATCATCATTCAGAAAGTGACCGGGGGGTATCATGTCAGGCATTCAGTTGCTACATAGAACCGTTACGTTCGACTTCGTGTGCTTTGGGTTCTTAGTTACAATATTTTTGTAATTTTGAAGACGTAAGACGCAGCACGCAATCTGCGGATGGTACCGTGTTTTTACACGAATTCCCCTTTCTTTCCGCACCGTGCACCGACCAACTTTTGTTGCACTATACGACGTAATGAGAATCCGGGGGTTTCCCTTTCTAACTGTAATCGATAACTGGTACTCTTTATAAGCGAGAATAAAATCGTGTGACTGCAGTCACTGAAGTCACACAACGGTGCGCTGTTCCGTAGAAATAGTTAACACCTTTGTTGTTTTTTATATATGTAGGTATTACTGATAGTTATTAATAATAATTAATTAACAGAGGTACAGTACAACCGAGTCGGTCGTAGTGTCTAATAGAATATCAATTACAACAACAATTAATATCAAAAAGATTTAATTTGCTAAGGACAAGTGAAATATGGATTCAGAACAATGTAAGTAAAAATTTAATTTTTTACAATGTTATATCCTTAACGTTATAATGTATATACATAACAAATTTCATAAATAGAAATCTAGGGGAAAGTAGAATGAAATCGGATACAAAATGCTGTTTCAATAGATTTTCGTCAGTCTTGTTAGTCATCAATCAACATTATACAAGATAACTAAAAAAATATAGTGCATCAAATTGGTTCTGAAGTTTCTGCATGTTTGCCGTCTCGTTGTGATGACTGCTGACTGTCATAAATGTCCTTATAGGATCACTTCTAGCATTTTCAATGTCTTTGCTGACTGCTAGACAGGCAATTAATAATTTAACTCAAATACAGATCTGCTACCTATCTCAACTAAACGGCAAATTGTTTTTAAAAATGCATTGACAGCTTGATGTATGATCTTTTACATTCGCCTTGTATATTAAGTAAACTTGCAAATATAAATCACAAGCCGTCAAATCTACCATACTTAGATCAAAACTCTAGCATCCACCATGTGTCACATTCGATATCATATTATTATTTCTAAGTTTAAGCCATTGTTGTTTGTATATTTCCCAAGAAAACAAGATGAGCAATATCTAACCAAAAAAAAAAAAAAAAAACAAGAAACTGGAATTTTATCTTACCTATCCTTTACCTTTTTAATGGCGAATTAAGTCATAAACAGTAAGATAACTTCTAAAGATTTTTCTAACAAATTATTTTTTATATTATGTCAACAAAACTCGTTCTCCTGTAGACTCTTTATGAGCAAGTTACTCACAACAAAAGATTAGAAAGACAGCTGATCATCAGTGTTAATAAGATGACGATTTTTATTGATGACAAGTTGCATATTATTTTTACAGTTCTTTATTGTAGTAGTCACACATAACATATTTTAGCTGGAAGAGAAAATGGACACAAGAAAACTTCTGGAAAAATTGCTGAAGGCGTATTGAAGGGACAAACAAGTTATTATATAAAGCAGGGATCTAAATATGCAACAAAATTTAATTCGTCAAAATCGTGTGCGATAAGTGTGCTGGATACCTCTATAAAGGGTAAAAAAAACTGGGTGATACGATTTGACAAACCGCATTTGGGAAAGGTCCCTTATGATCACATTAATATCAATCCTAAAATATCGGGTATAAAAGATCCACATATTCCGTTACCACCTGGCGGTTTAGCGGTAATTATTGCGTTAAGATTTGTCTTGATCTGGATTCAGTTTCTTAACTTCAGGCAGCTGAAGGAGCATCTAAATTTTTTACAGCTGTTAATAAGGTAGCAGGACCGGTAGCTTTAATGATGGATGGATATCAAGTTGGATCTTCCATAGGTGAAGACTATAAAAATGGCACAACTCGAAACACAGTAGAAACAGTTGCCAACATTAGTGGTACATGGGGTGGTGGATGTGGAGGTAAGTGCTTCAGCTACATCAGCTACGACTAAACTGTACGTCTTAGAGAGAGAGAGAGAGAGAGAGAGAGAGAGAGAGAGAAAGAATTTTATAGTATCATGCTCCTACACTCGTCGTTTGTGAGTTGGGCTCACCTTTGTTTTAGGGTAAGCATGGTAAATCATTAATCGTTTACCCCCCCCCCCCGCAAAAAATGATGACATCATTTCAAAATTTTGCAATGGCAAAACTCACTTGAAACATACATATGCATGCTTCTTTACCTATCCTTCAACATAATTTTTATTTTAATTTGTACGGATAATTACAAAAATTGGTCGAAGGTTATTTTGACAGAACTTCCCTCGACCCTGAAATATAATAAAACAAATCCAGCTTTTTTATTTGTGACTTTTATTTTTTTATGTACATATATTTTATGTATATCATTCAAGTAAATACAGGGTTTTATAAATAATTCTAACGGCGTAGTTGGGCAAGGATTTAAAAAATACGACTTCGCTGTAATTATGCCTCATTATGACAGTTCTCACTTTTCATTAAATGTCATTTAAACTCATCGCTTTTATTGCTTTAACGTTTTTCAAGTGTAAGTTACAGTAATTCTCGTTGATCCAAGCTCAAAAGAACAAAATAGTCGTGGCGTGTGTGCGTATGAAAATTTTTGTTTTTGTGCTAGGAAGGGAAGACCGTGAAAATGGTTTATTCTGTTGAACAAAACACTTTCATTACTACGTCTTATTATCGCAAACGGACATTCGTAAACGAAAAGTGGGTGTAACCTCTTGTAAGCAAGAATATCTGGCCAAATATCTCGATCTGCAAATTCAAGATACATCGTTAGAGGGTCACATTAGAGATGTAATCAACAGATTTGTTCGAACTGGCAGTGTCAACAGAGGGAAATCTGGAAAACCTTCAATATCTGAGGAAGTTGTTGATGATTTCAGACGACTTGAGCAGAATCCTCAAACATCTTTGACAAGATGTAATAGAACATTTTTGAAATTAAAAAGAGAGTGAACATGTGCCTTTAACAAAATGGTGAACATTTTCAATATTTGCTGTGATGTTTAATCGCAATAAATTTGTTTAATGAATTAGTTTTATTTTTTAGTAAGATGTAACACATTTAGGCAACCAGTGAGACAGTTGTTGTGAGTCCTTGGGTATTTGGTAAAGTTCAAAACTGAGAGGCGGCACGTTTCCATGATCTACTTCAACCCTATAATCATTTATTAAAACCCTGTATAAAGCAGCGTGTTGGGCGTACGTTTCAAATGAGTTTTCTATTAACAAAATTTTGTGATGACCCAGTCAACATTTTTGCAAAAACTCGTAAGTCACTTTGGATAGGTGCAGTGTAATACTAATGATAAATAACAGCAAGTTAAAAATTTTTAATGCAATGATAAATTACAAGTATAGACCCAACATATTTTGCGCAGGATTTATTCGGCAAAATTTTGAGATGACGTCATCAATTTTTTGGGAGGGAACAAACGATAAATTCTGCTTAACGATTTACAGTGATTAAGATAACTTTAATATATTTACAAGATTTCAGAGCATTTGGTTGTGCATCTATCCAAAATGGATATCAATATCCTCGCAAAAATATTGACCACGTCATCACAAAATTTTTTAAAGGATAAACTCATTGGAAACATATCCGTAGCACGCTTATTATATTTAGTAAAAGCCTCCCCTGAACGAAATCACAACAGCCGGTCGAGCTGCAGTGGACACGTTATTTACGACCCTAACACCTTTTCTATTTTAAACAACTTAACTTCGACACAATGGGGTGATTTTATGATGGCCATATAACCTTATAGCTTCTGGTCCACTATACTTCAGGGGCGAGGGAAGTTCTGTCAAGATAATATTCTACCAATTTTTTTATTACTGTAAACATTTATCAGTTTTAATGAAATAAGCAATTAAAATAGTACTTTTTTTCGTAAATTACCAAGTATTTGTTATTTAGTAGAATAAAGGTTCCCTTAGATATCTTAAATAAAATTCAAAATTTTGAATACAGATTAGAACAAATAATTTTGTTGATATGTTTTATGGTACGGTTCGACATCTTTTATGCTGCAGTTCTCAGCATGGTAATATTATTCATTATACAAATTTATAAAAAATAAATTCATTTCATTAGTTTGTATAAATATTTCTAAAATTTCAAAATTTCTGCTGTTTCTAACAAAAACTAACATCAGTCACATAAACATCTGAAAACGGGCAATAAAAAAAATGTTAAAACAAAAAAAAACACGTCTCGTGTTATAAAACAGAAAAAAATCTGTTTTAAAATGTTTTTTTTATCAACTAACATTTCTATATTTGGTTGGATATGAGACAAAAATTGTGTAACCCTACATTTTAAAATAATTTTGGAAATTTTATTTTTTTGTGAAAGCCCTTATAAGTTAAAATACAGATATATGTAATGTTAAAGTAAATATAAAGAAGCGCGAATTTTTGCTTTTACAAAATTTTGTGATGACTTCATCAATATTTTTGCTAGAACACGTATATCAGTGTGGATAGCTGGAATGTAATACTAATAAAACAGTACATATTGTATTACACTTTCGGCCACAATATCTTGGGCAGTTCTGTTATTGCAGTGACATAAGCTCTAAAACAGGCTTTACGTACTTATAACCTCAAATTTGCCATGTTTGTTATTTTGACGTAGACTGGAATGTGGATAATGACGTATGTCAAAATTTATTTTTTAAAAGTGTCAATCATTATGACAATAAAGCATAGACTACATCGTGTTTTTTTTAATGACAGAAAAATACTGCCCAAGATTTTCTGTCCGAAACTGTACCAAATTTTCGAGAAAATCGACTTAGCCTTTCTTGATTTAATCATTGTATGTATAATTTCATAAGAACTGTTCTATACTATTAAAATAAAATGTTGTCTCTCGAAAACAACCTAGGAAAATATCACGACCACAAACACCGTCACGAATTAAAAGTGTTTTAGCTCGTGATATTTTCCTAGGCAACATGTTTAAGAGATTACGTTGCAAAATTTAAATAACTAAAAGAATAATTCGAATGATACTATATTCGAAGGATTAATGCATAAAACAAAATGAATAATTAAATTTTTATTAGCTTGTCAACATTGTGACTTTTAAAATATGTTGTTAAAATGCTTTGGAATTTTGTGCCCGCTTTGATGTTTACTGTTCTTTTTTTTTCATGTAAAATTGGATTTTTGTAGGTGCAGTTGCAGGAGCTACGATAGGCTCTGCAATTTTTCCCGGAGTCGGCACTATAATTGGTGGAGTAATCGGTGGAATTGGAGGAGGTATAGGAGGAGCTTTGGGTTGTTCAGCATTAACAAAGACAATTGGCGACAAGTACGAGTATGGAATAGAGGAAATTGTCTGTAAAAACTGTTGTGAAAAGTTTAAATGGAAGAGATATTTAGACAAATTTCCGTTGTGTCCAAAATGTAAAGCTATAAATATGTAATTTCATAATTACCATGTATTTAATCTCATTACAAAACTTCTATACATATTTAATAAATTTACGCATCTGAAGATTGTTTTTATAGGTTTGTAACCTCTTGAATGTAGGTACGAACAGTGGACACATTGGTATACACGTCTGGATAGCCACGCTCACAACCGAAGCCCCAAGACACAATACCGGCAAGAATACCATCAACTACCATCGGACCGCCTGAATCCCCACGACAGACGTCCGCTTCTCCATTACTGGCAGTAGCACACAACATGTGGTCAGTAATAATGCTGACTGCATTATATGCAGTACTGCATTCGGTTTGACTGATAATTTTTACAGTGATTGCTACTAAATAAGTAGGAAGCGAACTCCATGCTGTCACAAGACCAGAAGTACCTGAAGGCCAACTGGTGCCAGAAGAGGGAAGTTTAACTGAAGCAACGAAACTATCTTCAGTCAAAATTGTCAATAGTCGCAAGATGGAGATGTCGTAGTCGATTGTGTTGCCGTTATAGCTGGGATGAATGTAGATTCCAGAAACATTTGATGTTTGACCACCGGAGCCGGGAGTAGAGGTTCCAGCACGAATCAGAAGCGACTTAGCAGACATTCTAGATAAAAAAAAAAGAAAGGATTTATTACAAAATTAGAAGATGAGGACATGCACTTTTCAGTGATTAACCGATTAACAGAGCGAATATACAGGGTTATTCACAAGAGGCTTTATACTTTTTAAATAATTTACGACGCAACCAGAAATATAATTTCAAAACCATCTTTGATATTACATAGCATATTTTTTTATTTAAGTAACACATACAATAGTGTAATAACATCGACGTAGTGTCAGATACTATCATGTTAAAACTGACATTTCGTCGAAACGATGATGCGATTTTGATAGATGGTGAATGGTTTACTACATTACTAGAATTAGACATTAATAAATTTTGTGGCGTTTGTGTCCAGAATGCAAAAGTAAGTACCTACTTATGTCGTGTATCTGCAAATTCCAATATATTTATAGTTATGTTAATTCCAAAAGAAAAATATATGCCTCTGTTTGAGCGAACTTGCAAATACCCAGAATATTTTCTGCTTCTATTTTTAAAATTTCTAGTTCTAGTATTTTTGTATGTGCTTCATGATTGCAGAGATTGAAAAATAACATCTTTATATCTATTAAATATTGAAAATCGTTATTGGCGTTTCATGCAATTCATTACTATATATATATATATATATATATATATACAGTGGACGCCGCTTAATGTGATCACTTTGGGACTCAGACAAATTGATCACACTAACCGACTGATAACAATAAGCGAAAACCACCATCAGAGACAGGAAAACTTGAAACAAATCAAAATCATGAACAAGAGAGTGTTCATTATGCTGGTAAATGAAGGTACATAAACATTAGAATTTATTTTTAATTTTGGTTATCATTCTGAGAAAGGGACTCTTGATTTCCATTGGTTATTTTAGAAAAAACGGGCTGAAATTTTTTTTTCTCTGATAAGCTGAGATCTCGTCGTTTTGACGTGCTCATTTTTACATAAGTACTACTCAAATTTAAAACAGGAAAAATTCGTTCATTCAAAATACGAAAACGCGCTGATTACTAAAGTCTGTCACTGATTGTGGCTCTATAAAGTGAGTAGTATAAGCGAATGTATCTTTTGAGAGCAATAAAAGTTCATTAAAAACAATAGTACTTTCAATCGTCTCGTTTCTTCAAAAAAGCTTGTATAAGAATTGAGAGATTGATCACAATAAGCGAAATATTGATCACAATAAACGGAAAAACTGTAATGCATTGGTATTGCGTGGGCCCGTTCCAAGCCATTTTGATCACACTAAGCGGTTGATAACATTAACCGTGATCATATTAAGCGGCGTCTACTGTATATATATTATGTTTATTGCTCACCAAATCTGTTTACTTTATCTACACATCTTAAAACTGTTCACTTGTTCTTATCTATCAGACATCTTTAAATAATCACATATTTGTCCTCTAAAAAAGTAATAAACGTGTCACTGAAACTTATAGATCGTTTGCAATAATCTATAAATTTGACGAGGCTTTTGAATTTATTGTCTCTCATAAAAACCTACTACGAATCAATAATTTTATTTATATGTTTCAAAGTACCATATTTGTGTACAAACCTTTGAGTAATTTACCTCACTCTTAAGCGTTGTAACTATATTTCCTCACAAATTAAAATTTTTAATATACGTGTTCTTGCAAAAATATTGATGAGATCATCAGAAAATTTTGTAAACAACATTAATGTGTATTTCAGGTTATAGGGTTCTCATAAAAAAATAAAATTCAGGTGCGAGGGAAGTTCTCTCGAAACAACCTTCGACCAATCGCAAGTATTGTAATCGGATCTATCGAGCGACTGACTGCTTTCAAACTTTCTCAATGGGTCATGCTCATGACCCCTAGAGAACGAAAAACCAGTTCTCGCGTTTCCGTCTCCCTGTCTGCCCTTCTGTCTGTCTGTCCGCCGTCTGTGTCAATTTTTGTTAAACAAATGTTCTACGAAACTAAGAGACCGATTTTTGTCAAACTTTATATGTGCATAAAACACTACCCAACTTTGTCTAGTCATCCCCACCAAGAGTATGATGATGTTCAAAACTGTATATAGCAAGTTTATGAATCAGCGATTTTACCCGAAACGTCCAAGTTATTGGAAAAAAAATTAACATTATGTAACGACATTCATTTTAAATCCGTAAAACCGAATGCTTTGAAATCGTGGAGATGCTTTAAAGTTATCATAAGCATGGTAAATTTTTAATCAAAAAATATTTGCTTATCATCCCTAAAATATTGATGACATCAACTCAAAATTTTACCGGTTTAATCCGATCTAAAAAACTTTTGTACCACTTTGATAATTTTAAAGGATTCTTGAACAGAATATTTAAAACTTACTGAGAAAACCAAAAACTAAAAAAAAGGAAGAACCATGTAGTGATGTCTAAAATGACAAGTGGAGTGAATACTTTGTCTACTCCCCCCCCCCCCCCCACATTGTGCATGCATTTAGTAGTCATTTCTCAAGTGTTTTCTGTGATAATAAATAATTCTTATGATAATCATTGTGATAATGTAAATATTGTTTTATGTGGAAAAACGCATTCTGATACAAAAGTTCCATGTGTGAAATCTTACAAATATTTTATGGTGATTGGAAGCATCATAAACCGTGAATCAAAATTTGTCTATCATCTTACAGTTTTGCCGTATGTTCTTCAAATTTATGAGTGTTTTCGAGAAAAAGCTGATCGTGGTCGTCTCTTCTGCGTTGAGGAGACAAAATCAATCAAATTTCATTTTCTTTTAACCGCTGATACTTGTAGTCTGAAGGTGCTAATAGCCGAATTCAATGTATAAACAGTTGAAGTTAAGCATGTACTGAGAAATTGAGAATAATTACATTTTTTCCGTTGCTCTGTAACTAGGTATTTCAGGCACAGCAGCGTATGGAGGTATATAGGGAAGGTTTTTTAACACGTAATGGAACACCGTTATACCTAACCATCACCTTCACGTGGATAAGGAACAATCGGGTTTACATTAACTTAGTACGTTAAAGTAGATGGAAAAAAAGCTGTTTCTGGATTGAAGGGAAAAATTCCTGTTGCCTTGAATCAACTTATTACCTACGTTACACATTATTAAGAGTTGTTGCCATGCTTTTTCTTTCTTAAGGGTTCTTATAGGAGTGTTTGAATTATTTTCTCAGTATTTCATTAGTTCAGTTCGACATGCGAGTTATGTTCAAATGAACGAAATACAGCTTTATCTAATGGTTGCAACTCATGTGTAGTGTTTGAGGGTAGGTAAACAATAAAGTTGAATATTTAATTTTTCAGCTTCTTCAACAATGTTGTAAATATCCATGTGTGTTAATAAAGCCTATTACACAGGCCTGCGATGGTTTTCCCCCAACAAAATCAAGTAGTAATTTCAGTAGGTCTTAGATACTCATGTATAAAAAAAAATTGCAAAAATTTCTATCACGTACAGTTTCTGCAAAAAATATTTTTTTCAATTTTGTTCTTAGTACCATAAAAATTAACTTCTAGATTTTGTGGTAATAATATGTATGGATAATGGTGTTGATATTTCATTTGCTGTTTACCTTAGTAAGAGTTATTTGTGTCGACTATGCGCTTACTACCCTGAATTTAAACAAAAATTACTAATGTCTTCTCGGAAATGGGTTAATTCTTCAGATAAATTCTGTTACATTTGTAGAAGTTATTTAATCAAAAAACAACAACAAATAATTTCTGAATTTATCGAACAACTATACGAAAGTTATTTTAAAGTTAATATAAAAAACCAAGACAAAAAATGGGTGCGTCATAAAATGTGTTCATGCACCTCGCAAATGGTCAAAAGGAAAAAGAAATCTTTAAGTTTGCTGACACCAATGATTTGGATGGAGCCACAAAATCATACATACGATTGTTATTTTTGCTGTTCAAATATAAAAAGATATAATGCAAAAAATGTAACAGCAATAACATATCCTATCGTGAATACAAGACAAAACGCTTAAATCAGAGCTTTGAAGAAAGAAAAAAAGAAGCTTCTTGATTAATTTTTTTTTAAGTCTTGTTTATAACTAATTTAGTTCATTTAATAAATAAATATTCAATTTTATATTCTTTATATTTTATTTTTTCATAAAAATGTTTTGAAAAACTATGAATATTTAGGCCTACATAAAAATAAATCTCGATGTGCTACAAAAAAACTAGAGTTATATTTTAATTCGGCATACATAAATACCTAAAAAAAAAACAATATTATTTAAAAGGGAAATTAAAAGTTATATTTCGCAGGCCTGTGTTATTAATTGAAATATATCATCAATATTTTAACTTTTCCCAAATAATTTTTAGGTCATACTTCCTTTTGTTTTTTTTTCTTTCATCAATTTTGTTTCTAGGCAAGCCTTTAGAAATGTGAAATAATGCAAAAGCTCAAAAAAATCCAAACGGTGCGTTAATTTTGTGGGAAGTGTATTTTAATTTAATTTGACCTAAACAAACTAATCTGCTAACATATTTTGTTGCTTTTAACAAAAGTTTTTTTCTACTTTGCGTTAACAATGGCCTCATTATTAAACCGAAAACAGTTTAATAATGGGATCAATTGTTAAACTGTATTTCAGGTGGCGTGCAAGAAGTGGGGCCCCCTTCTTCCATTTTTTGAGGCAAACTTAGATTGTTAGTGTTCAGTGGTTAGATGCCAAACTTTGACATTGTGAAGTTAGCCACAGCGCTACAACTAACCTTTCAAATTAAAAGGCCCTAAATTATAACTTTGAATTTTTATTAATTGTTTGTTTCCGATCAGATGCAAAGTAGAAAAAATAGTATATTATACTCGTTTAATAAGACGCATTGTGGCACTTATTCCTTTGGAGCACTCCTCGCTGCGCTCGTCGTGCCACAATAAGACGTCTTATTAAACTAGTATAATAATATACTATTTTTCTATTTTCAACAAATTACTTGATTTGCTTTTTACATATTACGAGTATATCAACGTTACATTAATTTCGATGTAAATCAAAGTAAGCAATAAAGTGTTTATAATTTCACTAAATAACCCTTCTTGTCCCAAATTTTAGAACAAAAAATATGTTTAGAGTAAAAAAAAAAGGTAAGCGAAAAGTAAGCTACATCTGTGCTTATCTAAACTGCATTTTCTGTAAGTGAAATAAATTTTTACCCTATTTACAATATTATTAAAATATACTTTTTCGCCAGCCGTCTTAAAAGATGTCACTTTTAACGTCAATTTTGGACGGAAAACTTGACGTTTTTGTGAGAGTAAAAAAAAGTTGCGTTACTAAAGTAACAACGTCATTTTTGCCTTTTTAATACTAGGATTAATTTTTTTTTTTTCATCCTAGCCTTAAAAAGTTTTCAATTGTTTTATTTTGAGAATGAAATGCTATTCATATTTTCCAATTTTATTATTAACTTACATTGTTATTAATTATTTAAATTTTAAAATTAATATTGAATGTACAATAAGAACAATTTAATAAAAAACCGACCTTCATTAAACATTTTTGGACGAAGCGCAACATACTTTTCGTAAAATTTCAAATACTTTTCCCCCATAACCGTAAATGATCTGGGTTTTTTCGTTTTGGTATCAGGAATTTTTACCAATAAACCTGCTTTAATATTTTCAATATCTTCAGTTTTTATTTGTAATAGTTCGTGACACCGACAAGCTCCGCTAACGCCAAAGATTACAACAATCTGAAAAAAATTCGTAAAATAAATATAAGCTCTTCATTAGGTTATAAACATACTTTCATCATCAGGAATTTGAAATCCGGAGCCGTGTCTAAGAAAACTTCTATTTGTTCATTAGTTAAAACCCTTGATTTCTTTGGAACGTATCCTTCTCCTTGTTTCTTTATAAACGCTTTTAATTTTGAATACTTTCCGATTTTTATGCCATTTTTTATATTTAAAGTTGCTTTCACCATGGAATAGTGCGACCACAGTGTGGATGACTTCATTTTTGTAGCCAATTCGGAAAAATATACCAATAGGACGTTCTCAGAATAAGTTTGAATCTTTTTCCCTTCGCACCATTTGATGAAGCGGGTATACGCGCACTCATACACTTCGCGCGATTTTGTTGGTAACAAGTTCAGTACCACGTTTTGTGCTTCTTCTAGCACATCGGGAGGTAACTCTTCTTCAGGATTCATTATTAACACTGCAAACGTTTTCACAAAACAATGGTATGTAAGCAAACAAAAAAAGCCTTGACGACGTGGATACCAGACTACTTTGCAGATTGATTCATTTCTGCTCGATATTATTGTTAGCAATATTTTGTATTTTTGAGATTTACTTTTTGGCTGGCGAAAAAGTAGTATGTTTCATTCGGATTAAAAGTCAGTTTTTGACTCGCAATTTTGCATCCGCTCGGCTTCGCTTCGCTCCGCCTCGCAAATGCAAAATTTGCTCGTCGCAAAAAATGGCACTTTTAATCCTAATAAAACAATCTACTATAAATCTAACCACAAAGAGACGAAAATGATAAATCTGCATTTTCGTGTGTTATATAAAAAAAGAAAACCATATATTCGTGTAAGTGAATGCTTTCAGAATATAATACTTCGTTTTGAAAATAAATATACATATCAGTATTTTGTTTACTGAACCTGCTTTGAATCAAGTTGTCTTACCCATCAGTACAGTGAGCTGCCGTAACCACCCATTCTAGTGATATAAGTGCTCCACCACAAATGTGAGAATTATAATATTCAAGAGACACCTGCCATGGTACTTCAGTAATATTGATGTATGAACTCTCTACAGTGTGGACACTATTACCAAACGCCCCTTTAGTACCAGCGTAACACGGATATACTAAAATAATAAAATATTTTAATGTTGTAGATAGCCGAAATCACGTCTACTTACCAAAAAGAAATGTTACAAATAGTACGACTAACATTACAGATTTCATTTTGATAAATAGCTTTAAGATTACTATTTCGGTTTATGATTTTAAGTGATTGATGTTATCATCCAAAGATTAAAGCATCTATCAGTACGTACATTTAACGAGTTAAACATATTTGTGATGAATGTTCTGTCTGACAAAAATCTAAAAAGTTTGACACCTTAAAAGAGGCTATCGATACATGTATCTCAAAAACTGAGCAGCAAACTGATACAATTAATTCTCAAGGTATCATTATAAATGATCTTATAAAGAAATTGTCTACCTATCCTGAAAAAAACGTGAATTTTTCTATGTTGATGTCGCAAAGAAAACTTCAGTTATATTAAAGCCTAAAAACACTGAGCAAAAATAATTTAAACATATTGAGTGTTAAATCCACGAAAAACGGAGGTGTCTTTATCAGCTGTGAAAAAAGTGAGGACACATAGAAAATCATTGATTTAGTAAATAATGAACTTCATGAAGATTATAATACTGAACAATTGCCTAGTCTTTGTCCCAGAGTAAGAGTATCAGAAATTCCCAAAAAAAATAATTCTGAGATGTTTTCGAGGTGTCTTGTACATCAGAATCAATTATTATTATTCAATAGTATTCAAAACTATAAAATTATCAGTTTTAGAGCTATGCGTAATACAAGTAATAAATTATATCAAGCTGTTGTTCAAATTGACTTATTAGACTCCTATAATAAATGGTTGAAAGCGGAAAAAGTGCTGATTGGATATAAATATTGCAAAATTTGAGATGGAATAAATGTGCGTCATTTTGCCGACAAGTGCAACGAAAAAATGTCCACATGTCCTAGATGTTCTGAAAAACATAACAAAGCTGTAAGACTGTCAATCAGAGACGCATAAATGTGTTCACTGCAGTCAATTAAAACAAACTCATAATAATTGTTGTCCATTTTTACTTTATACTGTTTTTTTGTATTTCGGGACTCGTGGACATGAAAAAGAAGAAGAAGAGATGTCTTCTACGTCGACAGTTTCGCACTTTATTTTACCGCTTTTTCAAGGCTTTCAATTATATTTCGCAGTCACTCTGTATAGTCACATAGCTAGTATGATATTCATCCATCAACACGGATTTATGGCTGGTAGGTCCACATGATCTCATAATTTTGAACAGTCTTCTGGTGTTCCTCAAGGATCTGTTTTAGGCTCTCTGCTTTTTGTATTATTCGTCAATTATATTGTGTGTGATTTGAATGTCAATTACCTATGGTTTGCAAACGACCTAAAGTTGTTTTTGAAAATTGATAGCATTGAGGACTGTGTTGGACTGCAAAGTAATATCTTAAAAACTAATGAATAGTGTACTCTTAATAATCTACCGCTAAATTTAAAGAAATGCTATTCGATGTCATTTACGAAGAAAAAAAAATCCGATAATAAGGTATTTAATTACACCGTTAAGTGTACATACTGCAGTACAGAGACGTAACTCACATAAGGATCTGGGAGTGACCTTTGACTGTGAATTAAACTTTCGCGAACATATAACTGCAACTGTCTCTTCCGCCTTCAAGTGTTTGGGTTTTGTCACAAGAAATGCAAAACATTTCTCTGATGTAAGTGTTTTTATGTTACACACATACTTACGATCAATTGAGGAAGTACAACGTCGGTTTGCTAAATCTGCATTATTCTTGATGGACGGTATTTATGCACCTCGAGGGTACCCAGAACATTTACTTCTTAAACATATAAACATCCCATTTCTGTCTTGCAGGCGATCGTATTTTTCTGTAATATTCTTATTTAAATTAATTCACTACCTAATCGATAGTGCAGACCTACTAAATAATACTCCTATAAACTTTGCAGTTCCAGCATTTCATAAAAGGCATCATAAGATTTTCTTAAAATCAAAGTTCAAAACGAACATTCTATCAAACTCTCCTATTTATCAAATGATTACAAATTACGAAAATACTGAACACGCTGTAGATATTTTTAGATTAAATTCCTTCAATAAGATTCGTGAACACTTCTTGCTCTGTTAGTTACATTGAATTATTTTACCAATTTTCTTATTTATTAATATTCATTACTTCTAACCTGCCCCATAAATGAAATTTTCTTCGTTGGGCAAATTAATTAAATTAATAATAATAATTGTCGAAGTTTGTATAAATGAATAAAGACCAGCGAACAGTAAGATAAATATATTGCTAGTGACAAGTGTTAGATAAATAAGAATAATAAGAATAGAATAGTATGTGACCGTGCGGTCGAGATAGTTGAATGTTAGTTACGAATTGAGAGTTAAGAATTGAATGTGTATGAATGAGTTAAGAATTAAGAATTGAATGCTACCCTGTGGTCCAAGGTGGGGGTGGCTCTGGCTCCCACCCTTGCGGGTGGGTAGGGGTGAAACAGGTCCCCGCCAGAGGCTCTAACATAACCCCCCGCCTTGAAACAATTACATTGTTTTAAGACCAAAAATAAACTATATAGAACATTAGAATGAAAACATGATTTAGTAATGATAAATACAGATGAAATTACATGAATTAGGTGGACATTGTTACAGAAAGCAATGAACCTGAAGAAATGCATTAAACTTTAAAAAAAGATATCTAAAACAAATTATATGTGTACAATATCAGTGAATACACAATATTTACAATAGACCTAAAAGTAAATTTACAACAATTATAATGTACCAAATCAATGAATAATACGATGAGTGAATAATATGGCGAATGAATATAACAATGGTACAAATATGAATACATAGAACATAGTAAAATAAATCAACAATGAGATGTATATAACAAATTGACAAGATGTATGCAATATGGTTAAATAGAATGATAATGCATGCGATTGCGAAATTATCTTTTGCACTTCACCGACACTACACACACCACCACTTCCTTTCCAAAATGATGTTGGAGGGCCGCGTCCTAACCGCCACTGTAGACGCGGAAATTTCTCCTTTTTCACGAGGACCCATCTTGCCATTCCTGGAATGTTGGAAGATGGCCTTTGCCACCCTAACCTGCCTTTCAGTGTGGTCAAATATTCGAGGTACCATGACTTCCAGAAGTGTTGATGGTAAGCGTGGATGAGGTGCCAAGGGATGGCCTGTTGATGGGAACGACGGCGTGGTCTTTTCCTGAGGGATCTGTTGATGGCTGGCCGAAAGAGGCATTGGCCAGGTATAAATGCGACCAAATTATTGCGGTCGCTGGACAGAGGCTTCGAAAGACGCGAATTCAGGACGGCTTTAACTCTGATAACGAGCGCATACACGCCCTCGCCCTCAAGATGGTTTTTATCAGTAATTTCGTTATAACTCCGGCGATTCATATTTAAACTCTTTGAACTAAGATTTGAACGGTCAACAACCTCGCATAGTTTAGTGGCAGAAATGTGAAGATTTAAAACACAATTGTGTTGCAGGTAAACGAAATTATTTAACGAATTTTCGTTAAGTACGTTCAGGTGTACAAGGTCTAGGTACTTCCTTTGAGAGACAATAAAACCCTCGTTACGTTTATGATTACGCCCCTCTGCTAACAATAGCAATTGGAGAGCGAGTTCTGGGGAATTTCCTAATTTAGGTAGATTTTCGAAATAAGGGACTGTGGAATGCCCCAACTTCCTCTCGACTGATAATAGCCACTTTGGATGCATTTGTGTAAAATTCTCTAACCGCGGCTGATTTTCCGAAAAGGGGTGTTTGACCATGAAATAGCCATCGGGTGAATGGCCTGTGGTAGTATACTGAAAAGGGGTTGCACAAAGATCGCTTTTACACCCTTTGCTTAATGACCTGCTTCCGGTTTTGACGGTTTCAGCTTCCAAGAACCGAGAAATAATTTGGGCTGAACTAATTTTGTGATGATGGGAAGTAATATTTTTTAAATATGCAAAACTGCCGCTAAGAATCAACCCCAGCGCGGTATTTTGAAGCACCGGTGGGTTTTTACTGAAATGACTTTTTATTTTGGTTTTGGCATTTTCGGAATGTTTTTTGTTGTCGAGTATTGCTACGTTTAACATATTGTCTTTAATATTTGAGTCTACGGATTTACATAAATATTGAGATCTACATTCAAATTGGTTACAGACTAACAATGAGTCACAGTTTTTCGAATTAACTGTAGGATTTTTTATTTTGTCTAGTGCGGTAGATGACTCTGCATTAGAAGTTTTATCTAAATTAATTTGAGATACACCTTCGGAGTTGTAACAATCATTAAAAAGATTATTTTTCTCTTCATTGGGTGTTGAATTTGGAAATTTTGAACGATTTGATATTACACTAGGAATTTTTGAAATAACGGAATCAAGAGGAGATTTTTTACCAATAGTGAACCGCAATTTACGTAGAGCATTGAAATGGGTTTTGTGAATTTTGATGGGTTCTCCATTTCTTAATTTGTGTACCTTTAAAGGCTTTAAGTTTTGACAAGCTTTTTCCAGATCCGTGGTTGGCACGTTAGTGTTTATCTTACATGAATTCGAGAAAGTACACAATGGATTAGTTTTCTCAATGAGAGCTTTATATAATTCGGATATTTTTTGAATATAATTTAGCACGTCTCTGATATTATAAATTATAGGTTTGATCGTTTCCGTGTTACTCGTGTCATTCGGGACTACCATTGTTTCGGATTTTTGCTGAACTACAAGCATTTGTAATTCTGAATAAATTCGCTGTACGTCTTCAAATCGACGCTTTAAGTGGCCTCTTTTTTGATGATTTGCAACATTTGATATAAAATTAGAATGTGAATCTATTTCGCTGAGAAGAATTGAAAATTTAACAAAAGTATTGTCTTGGATTACCACCATCTTGAGTACGAGAATAATGTATTACACCAACCAACCAGAATTAAAGCTTACCTGGAATCCTGGATTCCTGGATAGAATTATCTTGGCTGACGCTGAATGATACTTGAGGATTTTGCACAGCACTCGCGGTCGTCACCGATAGCTGAACACTGCGCGGATGATTTCTGGGTGATGTTTTGATAACTACTTTGCTGAATTCCAGCCGATGAATGAT